GCAATGTGGTCCGTGTCACTGCATATATCGTTTTTGCCCATGTGTGCCCACCACCCATACCCTCTATGTAAGGTTTTGTGGGGTGAACCTATGATCATATAGTATAGATCTGGGTCGTTGGGGTTTTCAACACTCCCACTGCGTGCCTGGAGTATCCTGCTGAATATACGTGTCGGAGGGGGTTCAGTCGAGTAATACCTGTTTGGGTGGCCTGTGTCTCAGAAATCACCCTTGGGAATGTATGTATAGTTATGTACCCAGGTTATTCCCATGTGTCCTGCCACTTGTTGCTGCTCTGCTGCCTGGAACATCAAGCAGATTTGGTGAATATTGTACCCATGAATCCCAGTGTGATTAGCAAGGGTGGGGGGTAAGGAAGTTGAAGAAAGGTAGGTAACCAAAAAATAACTATATACAATCTGATGGTCAGATAAATACTATCTGACAGTAGTGTTAAGTTTTGTGTCGTTATGGAGCCAAAACAGGGGAGGGTATTTTGTGCAAGTAGTTATATGCCTACCCGGCTATCTGTCGTGCTCTAGATTTGGGATAGACCTTATATAAGCCTACCCTGGGTCCCACAGCTTTCACCATTGCATCAGGTTACATTATGTATCTATCTGTCATGCTAGGTATTCAAATAACCATATTACATTATCATACATTGCACAATTAGTAACATTAGAACATGCTCATGTATCTAGGTGTTATGCCACCGTAGGAAAACGGGATTAACTCAATCCGGCAGTCCAGTGCCAGTCCTTTGTTATTTGTGCTTTGACACCGTGATCCAGTCCTCAGTAATGTTAGTGGGTGACTTGCGGGAGCCACGTGGTGGATCTGCCTTTTCTTGTAGGGCGATAGTTAGGTTCCATTCCCCCATCAGCCGGGCTCCTTCTGTAGCAGTGTGGATCTGATGTTCCACTTCATTTTGTTTAATGATGATGTGGGAAACCCCACTTGTAAAGAGTTTCTGCTTCCTTTCGTCACCGGTGTAAGCTCTTTGCGCTTCGCTAGGGTCACCGCAGAAAGGGTCGACGAACAGCTTTACTCCTGCGAGTTCAGATGGCATGTTGTCAGGATTCCTTGCTGCACGCATAACAGCTTCTTAGAGATAAAGTAATGGATGCGTGTGAGTGTCCCTGGGTGTGGAGGCCGCCAGGAATCTAGGCCGTGGTAGGCAGTGTATGCAATCTAGGCGTAGGTCGTTGCCGGTAAGCCGTGGGAATAGGGCTTTGAATAAATCCACTGCGTAGTCCCTCAGTTCAGATGGCCTGATCTCCTCCGATATTCCGCGTAGGCGTATATTGTTGCACCTGTCGGTGTCTTCTTGGTCGTCCATTTTAGCAGTAAGGAAGGACAGGCGTGCTTCAAAGGTTTCATAGGCCCCAGCTAAATTGTTGTGAGCCTCTTTGATCTCCTCTGTCTTATCTTCCAGCATTGTAGTGCGCTCACCTATCGCTATAATGTCTGAGTGGACATCCCGAGCCTATTTGGCAAATTCTGCCTGGAGGGTGTGTTGCAGCTCCTGTAGCATCCTATGGAGAGCATTTTCAGAGGCAGGAGCCATGTTCCCACTCGAAATGGAAGTGCTGTCCCTCTGGTCTGAGCGGGCTGTGGGTGAATCGGGGCAGCTGGCGCAGTCAAGAAGGATATTTACAGTGCTGCCGGTCACATTTTCACCTTTTTGGGAGCTCGCTGAGACATGGTGGCAAAGGGCATCCCTGAGATGGTGTTTTGCCTCTGGTAAGGCAGTTAAGGCACTTCTAATTGTGGTGTATCAGATCACCCTCGGAGGAGCTGACTGCTCACACATCCATGTCCACGAGCTGACAGGCCCCGCCCCCAAGAATAGTATAATTTTATGTATTTATTACTGGCATTTGTAAAGCGCCAATGTATTCTACAGCACTGTACAATTTGGAAAAAGACACCACAATATAAACAGACCGATACATAAGGTAGATGAGCTTACAATTTAAAGGTTAAAATGGGGAGATGAGACAAGATCTAACAGGGGAATTTGACGGCCATTGAGAAATCCTATAGTTAAGAATTAGAGATGTGAGAATGAGCAGAAGAAGAAAGAGGGTCACTCGCACAGCAAAGGGAATGAGAAGGAGTATATTTGTTTTAATTAAATAAAATTTGAGGAGCGGAATTGTCGAGGGCTTTGTAAGTCAGCATCTGCACTTTAGATTGGATCTTGCAGGAAACCAGAATCCATTTCAAGGATTGGTAAAGGAGTGAGTTATAAGAGTAGAGGTAATCAGAAAAATAAGCCTGGTGGCATCATTCATCACTGAAATATTACTGAGGATGTTATTATTAATGCAATAATTTTACAACATATTAACTTTACCCTTCCATATTTATATTGATTGTTTACATGTCTTTACTTCTACATGTATATATCAGATACTATGCTAAAAAAATGTGATGTACCTTTCTACCACAGAGAGGGGGTGGACCAATCGCAGACACAACTTGGGCGAGTCAATCCATGATTTACTTACTATTCAGGGAATCTCTTGTATTACTGTTTTTATCTGTTTGATTTACTACCCTGATATACAGATGGTATTAGTGGGATGTGCAAGGATTACAGAGATTTGGATGGAGTCTCTCCTTATAAATTATTCTTGGAGAAAAAGAAACTCAGTCTTTTGATTTGCACTCTATTATCTGGAAAGGTTTATAAATAGAGACACTGAATTTTGTTTCGGTACCTCCACGTACACATTGTGTGGTTTCACCACTTGTAACAATATTTAAATGGCTCTGCAATCTGAGACCCAAAGGAAAGATATCGCTTCATTAAAATGTTTAAAGATTAAATATCTGTGAAATTAGGTCCTCTAACTTTTTATACACTTTCTGACATTGTTGAAAGAAAATCTGCACAGTGCCAATTGTTTGCAAGTCTCAGAAAATAAGCATAGTTGTATTCCCTATATGTCACTCTGGTCATAACAATTACATTATCGGTCTTCCCAACAACTTGTTTACGGCTTTCTTCATGTCTTTGTTCCTCAATGTATAAATAATTGGGTTTAAAAATGGGGTCATGACAGTGAAGATGACTGCAATTGCTCTCTCTTGATTTAACGAGTCTTGTGTAGCTGGTCGCATATATATAAACATAGCTGTTCCATATTGAAGGGAAACAGCTGTGAGGTGAGCACTACAGGTGGAAAAGGCACGTTTCTTTCCTTCTGATGTTCGTATCTTTATAAGAAACTTACCAATTAAGAGATAAAAGAGAAGTGTGAGGATTAAGGAAGTCGTGCCTAAAGTACCAGTGACCTTATTGAGTAGCTCTTCATTAAGTGAAGTGTCTGCACAAGCCAAGCTCAGCACTGGCTTCACATCACAAAAAAAATGTTTCACCAATTTTGATCCACAAAATGGAAGCTTAGCAGTCATCATAGCATGCATAAGGGCATGGAAAAATCCAGTAACCCACGAGACTAACACCAAACACATACAAACCTTGGAGTTCATGATGCTGGTATAGTGCAAGGGATATCCTATAGCTATGAACCGGTCATAAGACATTGATGAATAGAGCAGAACTTCAGTGCTTCCAAAAAAATGAAAAAAATG